AACTGCAATAAAATAATAATAAAACACACAAAATAAAAACAAAGGGCTGAAGCACATAATGAAGTCAGAGTCTGGAAGCAACTGCTTGCAAATAGCACAATTACGCATACTGACAAACAGTGTAAGGAATAGTTATAAAATTATGATAAAAGTATTAACTAGTTGCAGAGTCATTTTTAAGAACAAAGACTAATGATTTCTAGGGAGTTTCAGAGGTAGAATGTTCATAGCTGAGGGATCAAACTAAGATGCATCCACCCTTTTCAAAGGTAATGAACACATCAGCAGAAGAGAATGGACTGTTTGAATGTGATGGGGATGGGAACTGCTGGGCAGCAGTGGTAGTTGAAGGTGACACTGGTGAAATTAAAGGGAAATGTAAGCCTAGGTTAGGAATGCTGAATGGCCAACAGAATATCTGAAAACAGTATGCTGAATACCTATACAGAAGAGATAAAGGGATGGCAGACTCATTTGAAAAGAAATCCTATGATGAAAAACCTGCAATTCTAGAAAGTGAAGTGAAAGCTGCTCTGAAAGCACTGGGAAGAAATAAATCACCGTGGATAGATGCCGATAGGACTATTTCAGGTCACTGTATCTGCCAAAATCCTAACAAGAATATTCCAAAAAATATGGAAAACAAAAGTTATAAGAGGATGATGATGATTAATGACCTGCAGACCAGAAACAGCCAATATACATTCCAATTCCAAAGAAAAGAGATGGCAAGGAGAGCAGTAACTATAAGACCATTGCTCTAATTTTCTATGCAAGCAAAGTGCTGCTCAAGGTGTTGCAACAAAGGCTTTTCCCTTGTATGGAGTGAGAAATGCCTGATGTTCAAGCTGGATTCCAAAAAGGATAGGGGTGTGAAACTGTTTTCTTCAGGACACCATAATGAAATACAGTGGTGCACCGCAAGATAAATGTAATTCGTTTTGCGAGAATTGCTGTCTTGCGAAAAAATCTATTTATTTGTCTTGCGAGGCATCGGTCTCAAGGGGGGGGACAACCCATCTTGTGAAGCATGGCCATAGAAGAAACCGTCTTGCGAGGCACCATAGTGATCACAAAAACCAATAGTCTTGCGGGTTTTTTGTCCCACGAGGCAATCGTCTTGTGAGGCACCACTGTAATATGTTAGTGCCAGCAAGGGCACCATAAAAGGAGCCACAATCTGGTTCTGCACACTTTTGGAAAAGTGGGTCTCAACCCATCTTGTGAAGCAGGGCCATAGAAGAAACCGTCTTGCGAGGCACCATAGTGATCACAAAAACCAATAGTCTTGCGGGTTTTTTGTCCCACGAGGCAATCGTCTTGTGAGGCACCACTGTAATATGTTAGTGCCAGCAAGGGCACCATAAAAGGAGCCACAATCTGGTTCTGCACACTTTTGGAAAAGTGGGTCTATCACTAGAGAGAGCTGAACTTTAAATTCTGTGCTGATGGATTTATCCATCCTTAAATGTTAGCTTCTTTAAGGACTTGATGTCATCCATAAGACAAAGTAGAGTGGTATCTCCAACCAAAAGATCTACTGAGGAGACCAGTGGCACCAGAGAAGAAGGGGATGAAGAAGGTGAGTCATTGTACTGTTCTCAGGAGTGGCAGTTGTTTGAGGCATTGCCTTTTCCTTATATGGAGCAAGAAATGCCTTATATTCAAGCTGGATTTTGAAAAGGAAGAGGGACTCGTGATCACATTGCAAATATCCGCTGGCTACTGGAGAGCACTAAAGAATTTCAGAAGAAAATCACTCTGTGCTTTATAGACAGAAAGAAATGGGTGTGCCTCAGCACCTGAAGGTCCTGATGCGTAACTTGTATTGTGGGCAAGAGGCTACCATTAGGACAGAATATGGAAAGATAAAATAGTTTTCTGTAAGCAAAGATGTCAGACAAGGGTGCATTTTATCACCCTCTTTGTTGTTAATCTCTACACGGGATATATCACCTTAAAGCTGGGCTAGATTCAGATGAAGGAGGAGAAAGAAACATTAGTAATTTAAAATATGACACTGTCTTACTGGCACAAAGCAGCAATGACTTGAAATGACTTCTAGTGAAAGTGAAAGAAGAACGTCGATTCAATCATCAATCCAAAAAGAGACGGCAGGACAGAAATCAAAGAATTAGAAAAGATTGCCAAGTGTAAATCAAGACCATCTGCACTGCTGTATTCCTGATCACTATGTACATGTGTGCAAGCTGGACAATGAAGAAAGCTGAGAAGAAAAAAAATGGATTCACTTGAAATATGGTGTTGGAGGAGAGCTTTGCAGATACCCTGGACTGCCAGAAAGATGAACAGGTATGTCCTAGAGCAAATCAAGCCTTGATTTTCTGTGGAGGCAAAAATGATGAAACTGAAGATGTGTACTTTGGGCATATCATGAAATGGCAAGATTAACTGGAAACAGTTGAAGGCATCGGCAAAAGAGGAAGATGGATTGACTCTCTAGAAAGAAGCCACAACAGGTTCAAGTTTGAAAAAACCAAGCAGGGCTATTGAGGACAGGACATTTTGGAGATTACTCATTCATAGGATCGCCATGAGTCAGAGGCAATTTAACGGAATGTAAAAACATTTTCATAAACATTTGCAATATGCAATATCAGAATTAGCCACTAGAGGGAATCAGAGATTGTTGCTGTTGTAGTTTATTACTCTGTATCTTTCTGGTCTTCTGGTAATCATAATGCACTGGTATTAATAATGCATAATACAAAGAACAGTTTGCTAGGATAATAGTAACAGCAAACCGGTTGCCAAGAAGCCATGAGTAGTGTAATGAGTTACTTTCAAAAAATCATGTAATGTAATAACTTACTTTTAAAAGATGGTTTAAGCTTTGAGTCAAACAAACACCACTCTAAAACCATCAAAATGTAAAGACTCGCCCAAGCTTTTATATGGAATGGTGGGGTATAAATTAAAGAGGGAATCAGTTCTTTAAAAAACTAGAATCAAAGACCTTCATCTGTAGTAAAAAATACTATAATATATGCTTCTTCACTGTTTTTTTTAACATAGTATGGAAGATTTTGACCATCGTTTCCAATGGCAATCTTTGCTAAATCCTGATTTGTATCTGCCTCCTCTTTCCATGCTACTTACTGGGAAATTATCTCTTCTGTATCAGTTTTGCAGGATATAAAGATAATTCTTATTCTGAAGTAGCAAATTATTCCTCTCCAACATAACAATGATTAATCCCATTTCCCTAAACACTAAGAACTAACTTCCTTAACACTGATTTCTCCAGAATGCTCTGAGCTATAGAAGTTTTATTCAATGGTAAACAAGCCTGACATAAGAATAAACCATCACTGAAAATCTGCTGGCCTGTCAGTGACTGGTTAGCAAAAGTACTCTCAGTGGGAGCTCCAAGCAAAAAGACTAGCATAAATATATGCTGTGTTAACATGTGATGTACACAGAATTATTTAATTTCTATGAAACATTGGAAGGAACTCTGCAGAAATAAAACTGATTCAGTTTTCCACATACATTAACTTCCAGAACTTTATATCTACCCAGTACATGTCCTGATTTGCCATGAAACAGCATATTTTCAGTGTCAGCCAACTGTTCATCTAGACTGCAGGGACCATCCCACTGGCCCTCTAAACCACTCCACATTTTATTCGCCCTTTGACTTTGCACTGAAAGTCTCTAAGGTCTCATTGCCTTCGACTTATCACTGATGATATTCATCATACTACACAATATTTTTCCCTCATGAGGTCAACAAAATACACTAAGGAGGAGTATTTCTGTCTGAAATCTTAGCTTGGTCCTTAAACTCACAACCATTTGGAGTCTTAAGAATGGCGGTACAAGCCTTTGGGGGAAACTGATGTGAGGGAATGACCTAGAGACATCATGGACAATGCCGCATGATAGTGCAGCAGTTTCCATTGGGTGATTCATGTATCAATGCTGCAATATGGGTGGAATGTACCTGGAGTGCAAGGCTGTCCACAGTATTTCTTCTCAGTTCTAATGATTACTGGAATAATTATTTTTGTTTGTGTTTTATGCTCAACAAAAATACCACAATTTCTATTTCTTCATTATCTTGATGATTTAGTTCTAATATTTATACTGAAAAATATTACTGCATTTTCCATTTTCTGATGGAATTATTTGTCTGTATTTACTCCTCACAAAACTACTAATATTTATGTGATTAGATAATAAATATAGTAATATAATGCTTGTACACAAGTACATGTTCTTCTTGAAACACATGCCTTTTTTGTTCCTATCATAATGGAACCTTGGGTGATTGGTGAACATAAGCTATGAAAGGTTGAGAACCACCACCTTAGGGACTAGTCACATTGTGCATCTTTTAAACTGCAGAACGAGGTTTTCTCATGGTTGAATATTCCCTTGTGCAGAAGCTCTGTCTCTACAAAATTACTGTGCCATGGGGAAGAGAAGACCAGAACTTGTCTTTCTGACATGCTTGTCTATGCACAAAGAATTCTCCACATAGAAAAGCACAGTGTGATGTTGCATTCTTGCTTCTTTGCACCTGAAATATGGTCTTCAGATAAGAGACCAGGAGCAGAACTCTAGAGAAGCTCATCCGCAGACATGGTCTCTTTTTTTAGGAGAGTCTTTTTTATAAGACCCTGGACTAGTATCTTGGGGAACATAATTTCTCCCTTATTAGGGAAAAATATTACATGTTTTGGGGCACAATGAGGTCTTTTGTTTAGCACATACCACTTAAAAGCCACTACAGTGGACCCTCGACCTACAGACGGCTCGACTTACAGACTTTTCGAGTTACAGACTTCTCTGGCCGCAAAATTTAGGTTCGACTTGCAGCCTGAGAATCGACCTACAGACCAGAAAAAAACCAAAATGGAACAAAAATGAAACAAAAACGGCCGGTTACGGGATTAATTGGTTTTCAATGCATTGTAGGTCAATGGAGACTCAACCTACAGACTTTTTGACCTGCAGCCACTGTTCCAATACGGATTAATTCTGTAAGTAGAGGGTCCACTGTATATTCTCAAACTGCTGAAGTTCAAAAAGTGCCAAATAGGCCACAAGCAAATATTAAGCAGCAATTATGGAATTCGGGCTTTCCTGAACAACAGACATTTCCATGGCTGCATGGCTGCCAAGGAGAGAAAGCTACTCTCTCCCCTACTGCTCTCATGGCTCCACCAAGACCACCAGCCTCTCCTGACTAGAGAGGTTTCCTTTTGTAAGCATGTTCTCTTCCAGTGGAACGTTGCTTTCCAAGATAAATGCAAAGGAAAAACCAAACACATCTTATGCAGAGGTCATGAGGTTTTTTTTCAGTTTTTGTCTCTCCGTCAGTGAACAGTACCTGTAACAAGGAAGGCCTCGTTATCTCAGCAATGAGCAACACTTCAGCTGAGACAAAGGGAAGCGAAACAGCGAAATAGCGCATCAGCCTCCACCCGTTAGCTGCTGCCTCCAGCACTCTCATGGAGTAGATTGTACAACCAATCTTGAAAAAAATGAAAAACAAATACCCAAAACTGCTAGATGAGGTGGATGACAAGATGTTTCCCAGCCAGAGGTGTTCAAGGACAGCTATTATGTTAAACAAGAATTTAAGCTGCTTCTGTCACTGTTGTTTAAAAACAAGTCCATCCAGTAGAGTACCTGGAAATGAGCACACTAGCAATTTCTGAGATGAGGTTAGTTTTAGTGCCTTCAATTATGCACTCAGGATACAAAAGAAAACTTGTTTTTTTTAGTACACTTAGAAATGAATAAAAGATTACAGTATTCAGAATTGTACAGATTCCTGAAAATTATCAACCAGAAAAATGACAAATATCTTTTATTTTCCTGTCTACTGACAGATATAAAGTGCAAAGCATGATATCTAGGGAAGTGTGGAAAAAGAAATTTTAAATTTTTCAGAAGGCAATGACGAAGGTGTTTTTACAATCAAGCTCTTTATTCAAGAGCAGCTATAGTCTGGGGGAGGTGTTAATTTAAATCTTTACTCCTATGTAAAGTATAACATTTACTCAAATATAAAATGCAGATTATTTGTTCACAACTCTTACACATTACATTGTCATCTTGATTACAATGAATTGCTTCTCATATTCAGTGGTCCAGTTATTTATGAAGCGCCGGCGCTTCCTAGGCACTTGACAACATAGTGGAGGTGAAGATCTGCTGCAAAATCTGTGGAATCTCCTTGGTATCCATGGCAATAAAAGAGCGGCCAGCTGGCAGGGTCCTCTGCAACCTAGCAAGCAGAAAAGAGGAAAAAAAATCACACGATACACGCTCTGGAATACACCAAGCACTATTTAAACAAACCCTCTTTAGAAAGGAACCATTTCCTTTTAAATCCGTAAACCATGACAGTGAGGCTCAGAAGCAGTGGTGGGAGCAAGGAGCACTTTAGCTTTGTACTGGTTCGTCGCTGTACAGGGACAGTGCTTCCTATGGATTCGCATACTGTTACGGTATTTGCCGTGGACACAGTGAGAGTAATAGGCACTGAAAAGATAACTGACCAGACTGCTGATTCAGAAGTTCCAATATTAAGAGCACTCCAGATGACTGACTCTCACCTTATAGGCCCACGCAGGGGCAGGGGTGCATATTAGGGGACTCAATAATTCTATATTCTAACACTGTATTTAGAAAATGGGGGGAGAGATCATTTTACCTATATATACATTTTACCTATACATATACATACATGTGTGTGTGTGTTTGTGTGTGTGTGTGTGTGTGTGTGTGATCTCTATATATTCGTACACTACCTATTTATTCATCCTAAGGCTGATTGGATAGCTCAATGAATCACAGTTATTCTATGGATTTACATACCAGATGATTTTTACATACCAGAACCAGATGATTTTTATTGTGTCCTGGTATGGATTTACATACCAGGACACAATAAAAATCTGGTTCTTAGCAGGTCTGAAAATTCGGTAAATACAACCTCATATGAGCAACAACATATGACACATTACATCATGTCATGGCTTACGTATTTTACAAAAATAAAGCCAAAATGGGGAAGACCTGTGTGAAAAACTAAGTACTGTACAGCCTTATTGCTTCCACAGGAATTAAGAGGCTAAGAGCCAGCTGCTGCTAAAAGAGACGGGAGCATTTGTATTCGTATATGAATATCCCCGCACAGGTGGTGATAACAAGGGTCTGGCCCCATGGGGCCGGATGGTCCACTCACCAATCCGCCGCAACTGCGGTCGCCGCGGAGCCTGCCAATGGCTCTGAAGATCTCGTTCAGCTCGCCACTCCTGGCAGGAGGCAGGAATACAAGCCTCACTGCAAGGTTGAAGAGTGGCTCGCAGATCACATGCTGTGGAGCCATTGGCAGGCTCTGCAGCATCCATGGCAGCGGTGGAATGGTGAGTGGACTGTCCAGCCCCATGGGGCTAGACCCTTGTTATTACCACCTGTGCAGGGATATTTGTATACGAATATGAATACCCCCATCTCTATCTGCTAACCAACTGCCCTTGAGCAAGTGTGACCATCTCTATAGAAGCTGAGGTTTTAGCAGTTTGCTGGTTTGGAGCGTTCAGGTACCAAGGAGGAAACACATCAGCAATGTCTGTAGAGAAGCAATTCTCGGTGCCCATCAATCTGGGAAGAGTTGGACAGCCATTTCCAAACAATTTAAAGTCCATCATTCTTACAGTGAGGAAGATTACTCACAAGTGGAAAACATTCAAGACAATTAATAATTTTCCCAGAAGTGAACATCCAAGCAAATTCACTCCAAGGCTTACTAATTTTCCCAGGAGTGAACATCCAAGCAAATTCACTCCAAGGACAGACTCACAATGCTCAGAGATACTGCAAAAATATTAAGAGTTACATCTCAGACTCTACAGGTCTCAGTTACCATGTTAAATGTTAAAGTTTGTGACAGTTCAATTAGAAAAAGACTGAGTAAGTACAGTTTGTTCGGAAAGGTTGCCAGGACAAAGCCTCTTATCTCTAAAAAGAACATGGCAGCATGGCTTAGATTTGCAAAGGTGTGGTTGGACAAACCACAAGACTTCTGGAACAATGTCCTTTCGACAGACGAGATCCAAATGGAGAAGTATGGCCATAATGCACAGTGCCATGCTTGGCAAAAACCAAACACAGCATTATGAGCACAAACACCTCACACCAACTGCCAAGCACAGTGGTGTAGGGGTGATGATCTGGGCTTGTTTTGAAGCCACAAGACCTGGGCACCTTGCGTGTATGGGTGATGATCTGGGCTTGTTTTGAAGCGACAAGACCTGGGCACCTTGCAGCCATTGAGTCAACCATGAACTCCTCTGGATACCAAAGTATTTTAGAGTCAAATGTGAGGCCATCTGTCCGACAGCAAAGCTTGGCTGAAATTAGGTCATGCAACAGGCCAGTGATCCCAAGCACACCAGCAAATCTACAACAAAATGGCTGAAAAAACAGAAGAATCAAGGTGTCACAATGCCTCAGACAAAGTCCAGACCTCAACCCGATTGCAGTGCTGTGGCGGGACCTTAAGAGAGCTGTACATAAATAAATGCCCACAAACCTCAATGGATTGAAGTAACATTGTGAAGAATGGGGGGGGGGGCAAAATTCCTCCACAGCAATGTGAGAGACTGATAAAGTCATACAGAAAATGATTACTTCAAGTTATTGTTGCTAAAGGTGGTTCTACAAGCAATTGAATCATAAGGTGTACTGGGTTTTTCACACATGGCTTCTCTATTTAGGCTTTACTTCTGTTAAATAAATCATGACACAGTGTAATATGTCATGTCTTGTTGTTCATCTGAGATTGTATTTACCTAATTTTCAGACCTGCTAAGGACCAAATGATTTTTATTATGTCCTGATACATAAAACCATGGAATTCAAAGAAGGTGTGCTTTCTTTTTCACATGACTGCTGGTGGAGCTAGAGGTTGAGAGTTTGAATCCTTGCTGTTCTTCCCAGGAAAAGAGGCAGCCAGTATAGCCATAGGCAGGCTATACAGTCCCAGAGTACACTTGGAAAGAAGGAATGATAAATCACACTTGACCGCTCTGTACCTAGAAAACCCTGGAAAGGCTGTTGCACCTACTGCTGCAGAAAACTACACTATTTCCTTTTCTTCGTCCTTTTGAATCTTTGAGTTACAGTGTACTATATAGTTCATTGGTGTGGATGTTGCCACTGTTTCCCCCTTAAATCTGCCACTTCCCCATCACCCAAAACTAATCTTCTTCCCCTAGAGGGGACACTAGATTAAGAAAAGCGGTGCTCATACAATCTAATTCTTGTCTTTCCCATTCCACATTCTTATTGTCAGGTCTGCAAGATCAGGTTAGGGGTCAAGATCAAGTTTCATCTTTCCCAAAAAAGGAGATGAGCTTAAGAAAATACTCTTCCAGATAGTATGATGTTTGTGATACAATACTGCAATAAGATATATATTATACGCAACTTTGGAGCTGTCAGAATTTCTGATCACTGCAAAGGTCAGCATAAAAGAAGACCTTTATTGAATTCTATGTAACAAATGAAACACACTTTGCCATTAGAAAGGATATGAAGGAAAGCCAAAAAGAAAGCATGTTCTGTATCATATCTGTGAGCTCCCCCTGAGCTTTCTCCCACCAGCCATCCTTTTACATACCTGTCTGCCTGATTCCCCAGGGATCCTATAAATACAGCAAAAGCATTCACTTTGGGATTGATGGTCAAGGCTTGAGCAAACCTTGCTGGAGGGATTCCATACCGCTCAAGGTTGGCATCACTTAAGACTATGACAAAGTATTCATCTGCCTCCTCTTTTGCAATCTCTTGAATGGCATGCTCTGTGCTCTCCAGAGTGTGATCGCCACTCATACAGAACTGTGCGTGGGCATGCATTGTCTGTAGAACAGAAGAAAACCGAGACAGAATCACTCAGCCAATCAAGGAAACATTTTCCAAACACCATCTGAGCTGAAAACTAACACATGAACCTATGTCCTGATTCTGGTAAAAGAGGTAAAGCATTTTTTATTTAAATGTTAGCCATATAATCCATGATACCTTAAATAAGCCATATTATTAATGACCACCTCCAAATGCAGGCAAGTTTGGAAGAGTAGAAGCCATATAACCAGCTAAGGAGAAAGCTGGTCGTATTTGGACCCTAAAACCTTGTGCAGTCTGGGCCTGGTACTTGGTAATGCACTTCAAGGAGACCAGAGCCACCAAGCTGGCATACGCATAGCACGAAACAATCAGCTCCAGGTGGCCAGGCAACTATACAAAAGTTGGCTTTTCTCCACTCTTTCGTACATCACAAATGAGGGAAATAAGCACAGTACTGAGATAGTTGCCTTAGACATTTTTTTTACACATTCTGAAAAATCAGCTCCTACATTTGGTACAACACTTCAAAGCCACTTGGTTGAAATTTATTCTTTTACTGGTATGATTAAATTTTTTTTAAAAAAGAAAAGAAATGATAGATAGATAGATTGCTGTATTGCCTGTTGTAGGAAAAACTGTTGTACCCTCTTAAAGGCTAAAAAGGCATATCCAACCTCGTGGTCAGACCCATGCGCCTCCTGGCTTTTAACACCAGCTAAGGAGATGATGGTGGAATGGGCCACCAAGATAATAAACTCCTCCTCGTGCCTTCCTGCCTGAAGGAGACAACGATCCAGCCCATTCTTGAAAAGGTCAACTTGGCAACGGATTATTTAAACAACTATCGCCCTATCGCCTATATACTGTTCATGGGTAAACTGACTGAGAAGGAGGTGGCTGACAGGTTGCAAGTATTCTTGGAGGATACTGATAGACTTAATCTATTTCAATTGGGATTCAGGCCACATCATGGGACTAAGACAGTTCTGGTTGCCCTCTTTGATGACCTGTTTTGGGAGGCTGACTGGAGGAGTGTGACCTTGTTGGTTCTCCTGGATCTCTCAGCAGCCTTTGATACCATTGAACATGGTATCTTCCTTGACTGGCTGTCAAGTTTGGGGACTGGGGGTACAGCATGGCACTGCCGCCAATCCTTTCTCAAGGACTGGTGTCAGATAGTTCAGCTTTCAGATGTTGTTCTGTCCCTGTGGATCCTCCAGTGTGGAGTCCAACAGGGGTCGGTTATCTCCCCACTGCTCTTCAGGCCGCTTGGGGAGTTTATCTGGAGCTTTGGAATGCTGCACAACTCCATCTCTCCTTTTTATCTTTGGCAGTGGAAGCTGTGAAGACCCTGGAGTGCTGTCTGGCCTTGGTTATGGACTGGGCGAGGCTAGTAGACTGACGTTGAATCCTGACAAGATGGAAAACCTATTGTTAGGAGAGGACCCTCATTGGTTAGGGGGACTTTTGCCTGGTTTGGAAGGGGTCACACTCCCTCTGAAGGGCTACGTTCTTAATCTGAGTGTGCTCCTGGATCTGACACTCTTAATAGAGAATCAGATCTTGGTCATTATCAGGTCTGGAGTTTTTTCCAACTTAGGCTGATCACACACCTTAGCTCCTATCTCGACAGGAAGTCCTTGATAACATTGGTTCATGTCTTGGTAATTTTGAAGACTGACTACTGCAATGCTCTTACATGGAAGAACACTTGAAGTAAGTCTGGAAGCTACAGCAAGTGCAAAACATGGTGGCCAGGCTTGTATTGGGGACATCAAAATATGATAATGTCTCCCCCGTCCTAGCCCATTTGCACTGGCTGCCAGTATGCTCGGACCTAGTTCAAGTTGTTAATGTTAACATACAAAGCCTGAAGAGTTTGGTACCTCAGTACCTGGCAGAGTGCCTCTCCCTCAGACATCCCACCCATATTTATATCTGATTAATGCTGCAGGTGGCCGCCATGAGGGGATCTACAACTCGGAACCGAGCCTTCTCTGTGGTGGCTGCCTTGTTATAAAAAAAACATTATCATGCCCTCTCCCACCTAATGTTTGGAAGGCAAATAAAACTGCTCTTTAGTCAGGCCTTTGAGAATCTTCTCCTTATTTAAGTATTGGATTGTTTAGTTCCTTTATTGCTTAATTTATGTTACTGTTATCAGCATCTTGAGATTGGTGTCTGTTTGGTTATATAGGTGGGCTGTAGGGGTGGGGGTTTCCTTTTTCTCCCTCCTTGTTTTCATTTTATGCATTTTGTGCTTATACTTTGTGTTTACATTTGTTTTAAGCTGCCCAGAAGAGTGACCAGTCACTAGAAGGGTGGAGTAGAAATTAAATAAATAAATAAATACATAATAAATAAACCTGTAATGTCAGACTTTAACATTTCAAACAATAAAGTTTACCTTCAAAATTTCTAATCGTTGCTTATTGTCCTTTGGAACTTTGTCACTGTGGACCAAGTCAATGTTGAAACCATCTCCCGAATGTCCCATGACATCATACTGCATGACAATGATGTAAACAAAGGCGTTTAAGCAGTGCCATAGTGTGAACATGCTCATCATTGCAAGTAACTATAGAATCAAAGAGCTGAGCGTTTGGCTTTGTTTCACTCTTTTCCACCTGCTGATTTCTGCACTGACCTCCCTGTGCTAATAGGCCAGTTTATGCAAATTGACACTGAACTATACACACTGTGGGTCTTTAGTTGCAGATTCAAATACTTAATACTGCATGGGCAATCCAACATACTTCACACAGGGCTAGTGGAGAAGAAAACAAGTCTGCACTCCTCACATCACAACTTAGTTGTCTAGCATCTGGCTGCCTCTCTTTCTATTTCTATTAACATCATTAATAAATATAAAACTGCAGTTCTGGACAGTGTCAATCTCATTTGCCTGTGAAGTAACAAGCACACAAAATAATATCTAATACAGTATGTGGTTTCAATATCATGTAGCATATTTGCTAAATAAGAACCCAAGTTTCAAGCTACTTTTCAGTGGACCACAGCCCCAACTTCCTCAGAAGCAGAGCTGTAAATAAAGCTAAGAAGGGACCTCCTAGGGAGAAAGGAGGGGCATGTGTTGCCCTTGACAAATGTTCTAACCCTTGCCCACTGACAACCTGGCGTTTGTGGTCAATGTAAAGCTAACATGATAGCACACTTTAATGTATTATTTATATCTGATGTTTGTGGAATTATTCATAACCTAAAACTAAAATATAGCTATTCATTTTGACATTACAAATTTCTAAATAAAGCAGGAGAGTTCAAATCTATTTTCTCTTATAACAATAGAAGTGAATACTGTGGTACCCTAAAGCTTCACAACTGCATTTGTTGAAGAGGATGTCCTTGCTATGGATACACAGGAAATATGGCTCTAACAAGTTCTCACAGATTTTCTCGTGTAGAACAAAAAACACGAGTATCTCAACACATCAAGCTGCCTCACTGCAAAATGGTCAACTGCTGCAAGAATTTTCACTCCTATGTGATAGTGAAAAAGCCACCACTTCAGCGGCAGCACTAACAAAAACACTGTCAAAAAGTGAGAACGGCACCAAAGAGATGCATCCTGATGTTTCTAATGAGAAATACCGCAAGAAAAAGGTTTTACACAAGTACAGGTTAATGTCTCAGAGCAGGCAGGGGAGGTGCGCAGCATGGAAGAAAGGCCTATAGCTTGGTCTAGTGCACTATGCACCTCTTTTCAAACATTTCAACAACTGTAGTATTAGCAAAATTTAATGTCAATGTTTTAGAAACTAGAGTTTAAGATAAAACACATTGAGCTTCTGTACCCTGCGCAATGGATACAATCATTGATGGTAAGTTCTTTTCACATTTCTGAAGATGAAGGCTTCACACTAGAGATGGGATATTTGTATTCATCTCCTGGGGGAGACAAATACGAATATCACGACTACAGGTGGTCAGGCCCTTTGGAAGATCCCTACAGAACCATCCTGATCCACTTACTGGGCTTTGCGTGGCATGCAGGGGTGTCACTGGCGACATTTGGCCAATCATGGAAGTAGCCTGGCCAGCTCTTCCCCGCCTCCATGCAGTGCTGGCCACTCAGCAGCTGAGCGAGGAGACTTGTCATCCCACCTCCTTGCCAGAGTTGTCAGCAGCGCAATGAGGCGGGGAAGCACTGGCTGGGCTACTTCTGTGATTGGCACAATGTTACCGATGACAGCCCTGCATGTGCCATGTGAAGCCCAGTGAGTGGACGAGGATGGTTCTGGAGCGGAGGAAATGGGCCTCTGCGGAACCTGGGGTGCTGTGCTTCATATTTGTATTCCCAGGGATATGAATACAAAGCCCCCATATCTACTTCACAGATAAAAAAAGCTGCCGTCTCTTTTCATCTGAACTGTTGTTTGACATTCGTCTACATATATACAGATAGCCACTAAGCTGGTTAAGAATCACCTTGAATTTCTGCTCATAATTCTCAAAAGCTTCCATAACCATGCAAACGGCTTCCATGGATCGCTCCAACCGTCCATCGACACCATTAAAGCGGTACATGCTGCCAGAGACATCCACTACCAGACGAAGACGTTTGGGCTTCTGCTGGGGGCTCCCAAGCTTAAACAAAACAACCAGGAACAAGGTTTAAAAACTGTGAATGCTGGCCTTCAGAAGCACATATCCATGGACTAGATTAAAACACAGATTGCAAAATGTGTCTTAATACAGAATACGCATAAATCAGGTATGGGCAACATCCAGGGCCTGAGGCAGGGCTTAGCTGGCCTCTCCCCAAACTGTACTAAGGAGGCCCCCACCACCACTCAAACCTGGCAGCAGGCCAGAGGGGGAAAACAAAATCAGTGAGCAAGAGACACTTCCTTGCCATTGTAGCATCTGTGAATGCTGCATTTTTAAAAACAAAATGTGCTGGCGGCATGTCTGGCATTATTTTAAAGCAGAATTGCAGTTCTGGAGTGTAGAAGGAGTTTTCATGGTATTAAATGTGGCAAAGCAACGACAATGTTGGTCCTTGGGAACATGGTATTAAATGTGGCTTTTTCAAGCAAAGCAACGACAATGTTGGTCCTTGGGAATGTGAAAAAGAGCTGGAGAGACAAGCCTAATAGGTCAAATATTGCCAGTTCCCAGCATAAGTGGACGAGTAGAGTAGACAGATTTCCAAAGGACATCCTCAGTCACTAAATCCAGGGGTGGGATGTAGGCACACCACACTGTTGCCACCACACCAACATCTTCTGGTACCCTAAAGACTAACACATTTTATTTGCAACACGTTTTTGTGGACTGCAGCACACTTTGTCAGATGCTGTAGCAGGGAGCAGTCAGGAGTCCTACCTTGTTCTATGTCATCACTGATTTCTAATAAGACTTCTGTGAATATATGAAGCTTGCTCACTGTTTTCTGATGTGCACTTCATTATGATAAAGGTAGTGAAGTCCTCTTAAAATATTATTGATCACAATACTTCAGTGGATTATTCTAAATACATGTCTCCCACAGTAGGAAAACATGTTCTAGGAGATATACTTCTGCAGGTAAATGTCCTCTTATTTTTAATAAAAGGGGCCTCAGATTTGCGAGTTATTTCAAATAAGGAATGCTCTTTGATCTGCAGTACAGGGATAAAATAGGTTCAAATCATAAAGCTTTCATGATATGATTATACCCTTTAAAGTGTTTCAAATGGGATTCTGGGCAACACCACATTCAAGCTACGCATAAAGTGGATAATTTCAAAATGAAACATCTGTTTTAACACTTTCTAGCACGTTTTCTGGATCAGGAAAAGTATTTTATGACATATGAAACAAGATGAGCCAGAATATGAATGCCAAGCTACTTAAGAGAGCTTGGCAAAGAGATAAAAATGACTGAAATATTTGTTTCATTTAGCTGAGTTCCAATGCCATTATGTCACTGAATTCTCATCTGAGTACTCTGTTTTGAATTCTCTCACTTTTCCCAGTGCAACAGACATGCTTCTTTCAATTCAGTTATTTGCCCTCATTATTTGTGATTTGTTTCAATCCAGAGGGTTCAGAGCAGATATAACGAGAGGATTTTATTTGGGAACATAGTTGGAAGCACTAATCTTATCAGCAGTATTCCGGAGTTAAATAGGTTGCAGCTTATGACCACAGGCTGTATTTAACTGTCAAGTGTAAACAGAGTCTGCAACAATCAGGGAACTCGCCCAGGAAGGCACAAAGGCACCAAGAGCCCAGTGACACAAACTCTGGATTGCAACCACTGAATATACAGCTGACAGCACTTTCCTTATAATTTCCAGCCATGTTCTAAAGGCCAAGTTAGTGGGGAAACCTGTTTTGAGATACCCTGCTGTTGATCTTCTTCTTCTTCTTCTTCTTCAAGTACAAATAAAACTTTGGAGAGAGCAACCCGATGAGGAAAACTGTGTGTATTTGTACACGAGGGTAGAGTCAAAAGATTAACCTTTCATGGTTCTCCCTCTCACAGTAAAGAAAAGGAGATCTGATTCCAGACATTCTGTCTTGTGCACTTGAGTCCAGGAAAGATAAAAAAGGTCAGTTCATTATTAAAACAACACTTGATTCAGAAAAACTGACCTTCAGAGATATGTCTAAGGGAGGTGTTTTTTAACTTAAAGATATAGCTCACATGACAATGATCACAAAAAGAAAAAAAAGAAAAAAAAGAAAAGAATGTGGAAAAGAACTCAGCTCACATGACAGTGATCACAAAAAGAAAAAAAAAAGAAAAAAAAAGAAAAGAATGTGGAAAAGAACTTACAGAGTTATGACCAGGGATATAATATGCAGTGGAAATTTGTCATCTTAGATCTTCAAAGGGTCTCAAGGCCAGCCACAGTTGCATCCCCTGTAAGTAGCACTGGTGTGGAAGCTCAAAATGCCATGTTGACTGGGCTCCATGTTCTCATAATGGGGGAGGTAGTCTGATATGCAAAGTGCATCTCTAATGCGCTGTGCTTTATGCATGAATAAAATTGGATGAGGTAGGGGTGGTATTTTTGCACATGACACCCAGCTATCCAGTAAAATAGCAAAGGATGAAGACCATGCATGCCAGGTTTCCACAGACATACAATAGATTTGCCACACTTTACTCACTTGTGGGTCAAGTTCTCCTCGTCGCTTATAGATAGCTTTTTCACCTGCCAGACTGTCAATTATCTTGGCATCGTCTAGTTCTCCAACTGCCTGGTGCTTTAACCACTGCCTTTCCTTTCCTTTGGCCTGTGAGAAAAAGAGAACAGTCATCCATAATATTCTTTTCCTTGTTTTTAAGAATAATTGTGAAGGAGTGATAGACCAAAAAGAAAAAAAGCAGTGCCCTTGACTAGAGAGGTCAGAGAGAGAGAGAGAGAGAGAGAGAGAGAGAGAGAGAAGATAACAGAAAGTGAAGAATTGAGTGTAGAAGAAGAGAAAGGAAGGGAATCAAAGGGGAAAGAAGAGAAAATTGAAATCTGTTTGGTGAAGAGGGAGAAGCAAAAGGGGAGGAGGAGTTAATCTTGCCTGTGTGGGAAGAGGATATAGGAGACCAAAGTGGGAGGAGACAATTTAGTATACCCAGGTGAGAGAGAATGAAAGAGGAGAAAAGTAGAGAGAGAGAAAAAGGTGAACACAGATATGAAAGAGTATGCGGGTTATTAGAAGATTTCCCTAATTTGAAGGTAGGAGGATTACTGCCTGACCCCGATCTGTCAAAGGAAAAGGGAACATCAACAGAGGCACTAGAAGAGACGGTTGTGGTCTTTCCGCGGGGACAAGGTCACTCAAGGAAGGTGATCCTACCAGACCGATCCTTGAGCCAATCACCACCAAAGGGAGATTGGGCGAGATACCCTTGTTGTGGGACAATTTGCCCGGTTTGGAGTGCTCCAATGACGAAATCCACTGACCAGGAACATTTTGGGTCAACCCTTCAGTGAACCTTGCCAATTTACAGGCAGAGTTCTCATCTTCACACTTTGGACAGTTGCTGGATCTCACTTGTTTTGAACCAATAGAAGTTGTTGTAGAATCATCAAATGGTAAAGCAAATAACTCTGTTAATATTTCAAAGGAGGCTCAGTTGTCATTTCCGGCCATAAGAGAGGAGCTGCTTCAAATTTTTAATGAACCCAATCACAATAATATTTGAATTACTGAAGCTATCAAACATGTTGACACAAATGAAACAAAGTCATTCATGGAAAAAGGAAGAATTATCACTAATGTTACAACATATGTTATTTTCAGCAATCTTTGTATATACGTATTTTGAAATATGCAGCACAAAATACTATATTTTAATCAGAAGTAATTAGAAAACTTTCAGTTTCTTCCTGGCAATCCATGTTTAATTCAGCAATTTGAAAAACAGTTTAAAATGACAACCTTCCTACTTAATAATTCTAAGCAAAGTCACAAACCTGAAATAAAGCATTGACAACCAATGTAATGCACACATTTCTTTGAAGTGATGGTGATTTAGAGGTTATTGTAGACAAAACAAAGAAAACAACAGAAGGCATTGATGTTTCAGCTTCACCGAGGCTCTGCTTAATTTGTCTTTTTACTGTTTTCACTAAAAAAGCTTTGAAACTATCAGAAAAGGGAAAACTGCTGGAAGCAGCTAAGACCACGACCCACTATCAAACATAGGTTTAATTGTGTAACTTGCTGTTTAGGCAATGATGGCCTGTTAATAAAACACTCAAAATCCAGCGAGCTTTCATCATGGGAGTGCAATGAGATGGTTAGCTTAATTGCACCAGTGAAAGGTTTCTTAGAGGAGATCTTATACTGTTCACGAGCTAACAAAAATATCATTTAACACAAAATAAAATAAAATTCTACCTTAGTGGGCAAAAAAGCTCAATTAGGCTGCTACTGATTTTAAAAAATACTGCTACCACCACTACCAATTTATTATTAATACCACTAATAATGTTTAACCAAAGCCATCTGTTGAATTCAGGGTAGAAGTGATACTGATCTTGCTTATTTGTGGGTCTTAGTCCTGAACCACACCAGGTAAAACATCTGATAAAACATCTAGGCTTTAAATACAGCACTCTTGTTTTAAAATACTTTATGTTGTATTTCATTGTCACAAGGGAGACTTGAATAGCCTTTGTCTGGTGGTATGAAAATTGATAAAAGAACGCATTTCAGATGCTCTGTTTTATTATGAAATAAGGTAACACTACATTGAACGTCTCAGAGGAAGGGTGATAAAAAAATATAACAAGCAATCAAAAACTGGGGTATATCAGTCTTCTGTCTAGTTCTCACCAATGATGATAACTGTGTCTTAGCTGTAGCACTCCAGAAGACAGACTAGGGCTTTCCTAACAAATTTTTATCATTTAGGAAACAATCACATTAGGAGACAGCCAGGAGAGACCTCGTCTCTTTAACACTGAACTTTCTCAGTGCTGTAATTCTTAAGGGAAAGGATCATTTAATCACTTACAGCTGGAAATGATACCACCAGGCACAGGTTTATTGTCTCAGCAATAATCAGACCTGCAACAATGGGATCATCATGCTCCCCCCCCCATAAATAAGCAGATTATTTAGTGCCAAAATTCAGCTAGTCCTTTCCTTCTTTTTATAATACAAGCTGCAGCTCGAAGTGCCTGGTTCCTTCATCAGATGGTTTTGTTGCACATTTCCTAGGAAGACAATGCAGCCTCAGGAAATGGAGCACATGGCAGTTTTCCTTGAACTTAAAACAACCTTTTGTTAATCTAAAGGAAGACGGATGTACTTCCTTTACTGATAATGTCACAATGGGTGCTGAAGGGCTCCAGAGCAAACACAGGTTAGGACAAAGGAGAGACTCCCTGGTGTTGTTGCTGCGGTACTTTGGTAACAAATGGAAGTGAGCTGCACCCTCCTTCCTTGTTCTCAAGGTCCCTGAATGATGCTCACCGCCATCCACTCTCTGTAGTTTTGGTTGCAATGTTGCTTTTAAAAAGCGTGCTGCTACATTTTGCTATGTAATAAATCTGACTAACACAACTGAAAAACTTTTTAAAAGTGTTATACTTAACAGGAATTCCATAAGAATCCAAGCACATACTTAGCATACTTAATAATAGTAGTGAATATGAACACTATTGCTTTATAGTTGATCAGGCTATACTCAAGAATACCAATCATAAAATAGTATTTGGCATCTCATGTAAGTACATACAAATAAGCATAAGAAGCATAAAATGATAAAATAATAGTAATAATAAGCATTCTCAAAAATATCAAGATGTGAGATTAACTCGAAGAACTGATGAAGTAAGCAGTAAGATCCATCCTTCCACAGTTCATTTAACAGATCTAGTAGTCCTATGGGATATATAGTAGTCTGTGCCAGCTAGCAGGAATAAAGCTATATCAACGTTCGACTTACAAACGTCCCTAGATACAAACTTTTTGTTTTACGAACGGCTCCATTGGCAAAAATTGGCATCGACTTGCGAATTGAGCTCAACCTACGAATGACGTTGAGGCTCCGTTCACAAGTCAATGCCATTTTTTTTGCAAATGGAGCCATTCGTAAATGGCTCCCTGCAAAAAGCCAAGGAGAAAGGGCTGGAAATTTGAATTTCCCGCCCTTTCTCTCTGCCTTTTTGGCTTCAGAGCTCTCAAAGGGCTTTCTCCGATGTCGGGGAGAAAGCCCTTTGAGAGCTCCGAAGCCAAAAGGCAGGGAGAAAGGGCGGGAAATTCGAATTTCCAGCCCTTTCTCCCTGCCTTTTTGTCTTTTGAAATACTGGAATGGATTAATTCCATTCCCATGCATTTCAATAGGAAATGGTACTTCGACTTATGAACTTTTTGATGTACGAATGTCGTTCCAAAAAGGATTACGTTCGTAAGTCGAGGTACCACTGTATACATAAAGAGAAGTGCTCTGGATCCCAGTTATTATGGCCTTAAGGTATTGGTCCCTCAGATCTCTATACAGAGGACATTCTGTTACAAAATTGTACCATGTCCTCCATTTTAGAGCATCCTGCTGGGCAATGTCTGTACCATGTTGGTCCATGTAACATCCCTGGATCTCTTTCAACTGTAATGAGTTCAGTCTGAACCTAGTTAACAGTTGTCTCAGCTCATGTGAGCTAATAAGGGACCAATAACAGGGCAGTGTTCCAAAAGGCAAGGAAAAGCCTTTGTGTATCCTATTAGAGCGGCAACAGACTACAAATGTCATGACAGTTGGGATATCAACATCATCTATTCTTTTAATGATATCTTCTTGAGCAGCTTCATATCCCCTCCCATGGAGATACATATGCTGGGGAGTAGATACCCAAGAGTCTCCTCCATTTCTTCACAGGCCAATAAGGCCAAAGAGGGGTGAGGTCATACAGCACACTATCTTGAGCCAAAATAGCACAGCTGCTTCCTTAACAAGAGTACCCACAAAGTGGCATGATGTCTCATAGTGGACTGTGAACATGGGAGTAGATCTTGATACCGCCTAGTCTTCTGGTTAAACATTTGTGCTGGATAGATTCCAATTTTGTGATATTTGAAAAAGCCCACACTGGTGCTCCATAGAGCATCAGCTGACAGAGCTACAGATTTATTGATAGATAGACAGTCAGACAGATGGACGGATGGACGAACAGACAGACAGACACAGATATTATAAGTGCCTGACAGAAATTCTGAATTATAAGTGCACATATATATATCAGGGGGGTGGAAACCAAGCCCTATGAGGAAAGACTGAAAGAACTGGGCATGTTTAGCCTTGAGAAAAGAAGACTGAGGGGAGATACGATAGCACATTTCAAATACTTGAAAGACTGTCACGCAGAGGAGGGGCAGGATTGCCATACAGAGGGGCAGGACATGTAATAATGGGCTCAAGTTACAAGAAGCCAGATTTTGGTTGAATATCAGGCAAAACTTTTTAACTGTTAGAGCAGTATGACAATGGAGTCAATTACCTCAGGAGGTGTTGAGCAATCCAACACTGGAAACATTTATGAGTAAATTAGATAACCATCTGTCAGACACACTTTGATTTAGTTTTCGCAAACCGATTTTCTCTAGATGACAATTTTGACAGCTTCCTCCACACTTGCAAAACAGGTGTTTTCAGGACCTAAACTTCACAAGACAGCGATTTAAACAGCTGATCGGCGGTTTGCAAAGCGGCTTTCCTATGGCTGATCTTCGCTAGACAACAACGATTCTTCCCCATTGGAATGCATTAAACAGGTTTCAATGCATTCCAATGGGGAAATGCTTTTTGCTAGACAAAAATTTCGCTAAACAGCGATTTCAGTGGAAGGGATTATCATCATCTAGTGAGGCGCCACTGTATGTGCATGTACAGGTTCATGCTGATAAATCGAAACTAGTGGGGCTAGCATGTGAACAGTGGTTTGAACAAAATTTGGAATAAACAGAAGTGGCTAATGCATTAGTGTTACTGCAGAAAAATACCAGATATTTTAGAATTCAAAAATTTGAGAAGTAGGAGGAAGAAGCATATCTATTTAATTTCACTTTATTGCTCAAGTGTTACTGGAGGATTTCACAGAGATTCTCCAACAGGTCCTCACGACAGAGAGTTTCTGGGTTGAAATAAATACTTCTTCTTGCTAAAACACTTGAAAAGAAATATGATTCCCTCAGGCTATTACCCGGCGTGATATAGTGCAGTGGTCCCTAATGTTTTTGCCTCCACAGACCAGTTTAGCATGCGGTCAGGGGGGGTGTTTGTGTGTGCATCCACGCAAGCATGGGAGGGGCCCTGAATGTTGGAGGGATTGTGGGAGGGGCTGTGTGTGTGTGTGTGTGAGGGGCGTGCATTCATCTGCGTGTGCAAGGGGGGGGGCAGGAGATTTGTCTCCATGGCCCAGTCCTGGCAAGGGGACCCCTGATATAGTGGATAGAAAGATGGATTAGGACTCAGGAGACCAGGTTCAAATTCCCAGTCAGCCATAAAAGTTCAATGGGGCAAGCGGAACCACTCTGTAAATATCTCACTTATCAAGAAAGCCCTACTACAGTCACTATAAGTTGGTTCTGAATTGACAGCACATCACTAACTAACTAGGCTAGAAAGCAAAAAAAGAGAAATTGACTACAGTGGTGCCTCGCAAGATGATGTTAATTTGTTCCGCGAAAATAGCTGTCTTACGAAAACATCGTCTTGCAAAATGAAAAAGCCCATTGAAATGCATTGAAACCGGTTCAATGCGTTCCAATGAGCTGAAAATTCACCATCCAGTGAAGATCCTCCATAGGGGCAGCCATTTTCGCTGCCTGTAAAGTGGGGAATCCATCCTGAAAACACAGTGGGGAGCCATTTTGCACAGTGGGCGGCCATTTTAGAACCGCTGACCAGCTGTTTCTAAATCATCGTTCAGTGAAAAATTGGTTCCCGAAGCAGGGAACCGATCATCGTTAAGCAAATTTTCCCCATAGGAACATCGTTTTGTGATCGCAAAAGTGATTGCAAAAACTTCATCGTAAAGCAGTTTTGTCGTTTAATGAGGCAATTGTTAAGCGAGGCACCACTGTACTAGATATGATGGATGACTACAGAAAGGAATGTGAAAAATATCAGTTTAAAAATATCAGCCATTACCTGCAAACTATCCAGGATAACTCTGAGTAGCTGAACTTGTCTTCGGACTGCTCCAGAAAACCTTTCATATGTAGATGCATCATACTCACTCATCTGGATCTCTTTTAATCTGAAACAGCATATAAAACAGAAAGAATAACAGGCATTAATGTTCAAGGAATTAAAGCACCTGGTTGTGGAGCTAGGGATTTCCTGAAGAGCCAGCCTGTGTGGCCTTGGGCAATCTGCACAGTCCCAGAGTGCCTGACAGAAGAAGGAAACAGTAAAGCACAACTTTATACCTCAGAAGCCCTAGCAAGAGAAACCATAAATTGGAATTGGCTTTAGAGCATAGTAAAAAGCCCCAAAGGTATCCATTAGAAAGGATTTAGTTGATGTTCTTAGTACAAGACTCACAAATGTTACTATACAGGGTAAAACAGGTCCTACTTAGTCCATCATAAATAACCCCAAAAATCCTTGCTTTCACCATGTTCATCTAATTGTGGACATCCACTCTAACTGAGTTTGGGAGAGTGAGAACAGACCAAAGAAAATAATTTTTTTACCCAGTGTGTTGTTAATCTGTGGAACCCCTTGCCACTGGATGTGGTGATGGCATCGGGCCTAGATGCCTTTAAAAGGGTATTGGACAGATTCTTGGGGGGGAAAGTCCATCGCAGGTTACAAGCCATGATGGGGATGTACAATCTCCAGGCTTAAAAAGGTGGTACTTCAAAATGCCAGATACAGGGGAGGGGTCCCAGGAGACAGGGACCTAGTTGTTTCATGTGCTCCCAGAGGCATCTGGTGGGGCCACTGTGAGATACAGAAAGCTGAACTAGATGGGCCCTTGGCCTGATCCAGCAGGACTCATCTTACGTAATTCAGCACTGAAGATTTGTCAATTATTATGGTCCTCTGACAAAGGAATCAGTGCTATTGCTCTGGTGAAAAATTCTGAGCCCATGCTTCTCCTTCTACATTATAACCACTGACAGTATGGATAAGCTTTAAAATATTGTGTCCCAAGGCTTTAATATTTATTCCAAAGTGCCCACTGCAGAAAGGGAAATGTATAATAATTGAATACTGACCTCTGCTTAAAAGCTTTTTCAGCCATCTCCCTCGCAGCTTTCTTCACTTCTTCAGGAACAGCATCTTTCTCTGCCTGAGACACCTGGTATACTTTGTGACCAGCATCCAGGCGGTATGGACCTCCTTTGCCACCCAAACCAGCAGTGTCTCTCCCACCTGGCAAGGGGAAATAAAACAGAAAGGTAGTTGAGTCATATACGTACAGAAGCAAATCTTATAGTTTTCTTACCATACATATATGGATAAATGGATGAATGAATGTATGAATGAATCTATCTGACTGTCTGTCTGTCTGTCTGTCTGTCTGTCTGTCTGTCTGTCTGTCTGTCTGTCTGTCTTTTTTTGCGGAAGGGAATCATATTGATATCAGATATTCATATTGGCAAAATGAAAAGGGGATGGACAAACAGTTACTTCAGTGTGAACTTTTGTAAATCAAAATCTACTTCTTCAGACACAAGAAGTGCAAATACTATTTCCTCTCATATTTATACACATCTCCTTGGCTTCACAACCAAGTGAGGATACAGATAACAGACAAAGTGACAATGGTCCATTGACACAGGAGTGGGTCTATCAAGATGTTAATCAAAAGAAGTGCAGGGCTAACCAAGTGATAAACCAGGTGTCTGGTAGACTTGGCTGTCACAGAAATGTTGGGAGTTGTTTCTAGGATAGACATCACAGCATTTGCACAGGTTATGGTTCCAATTTTCAGAGAAGTCCTTTGGAGATAACTGTACTTCATGAAAAAACCATGACTTTGTACCTGTTCCTCCAGCCCACATGTTTCCACCAACATGAGGTGTATTCGCTGGATCCACCTTCCCGTGCTTAGGGGAGCTAACGTCCAAGTCACTGGTTCTCTGGATAGTAATCTGCTGAGGCAAAACCAAAACATGTAGCAAATGATAGTTAGAAGAAAATCTATCGTTCCCCCCTCCTTTATTGTTGTGTTGTTCATAGAACAATTTTGACAGATTGGTATTCCTTGGCCTAAAGGATGGATGAGGCAGCACATTAAACAACAGGTCTCCTGAGAAGCAAAAAGGTCAGTGCTGTATCCAGGGCAATGAAAAAGAGTGTGCACAAGTCAAAGAAAATCATGCAGGGCATCAAAGAAAGGTACCTGTTCTAAGGATGAGAGCTCCTGAGGCAAATCAGCAGGGGAAAAAGAGAGGAGTGAATCTTGAGTTTTTGTCAAAGTGCTTCTTATGCACATGCTAGGTTCTGAGAAACCAGCCCCAAAATATAGAATTGTCTGAACCTGTTGTCTTCAAACAGCAATTCATGCAAATTATTAGAACAAATAAACCATGCATAAATGTTAAATCCAAAATACAGTGGTGCCTCGCATAGCGACGATAATCGGTGCAGCAAAAATCGCTGCAAAGCGATTTCGTCGCTATGCAATATTAAAAAGCCTATAGGAATGCATTGAAACCCCTTCAATGTGTTTCTATGGGCTTCAGACTCACCTTTAAGCGAAAATCCTCCATACGGCGGCCATTTTCGCTGCCCGGTAAGCGAGGAATCCGTCCCAGAAAACAGCGGGTGGCCATTTTTTTTACCGGGCGGCCATTTTGGAACCGGCGATCAGCTGTTAAAAAATCATCGCTTTGCGATGATCGGTAAGTGAAACAGGGTACCGATAATCACAAAGCGATTTTTCCCCATAGGGAACATTGCAAAGCGATCGCAAAAAGTTAATCGCTATGCGATTTCATCGTTAAAGGGGCGCCCGTTAAGCGAGGCACTACTGTAAATGTAAACTGTTGTAAATATGCAACTAAATACTGTGTAAAAGTATTATGATAAATAATGAAACTGGGATTTTAACCCATAATTACAAGATTATTCATATTTGTCCCTGTGCTGATTAAATGCAGTTGCTTAATGAATGTGAGTTATTTTAATAAGCATGGAACGTTTTAACTACTGAAGCCATTTTTATTTGGAGAGATTATTTTGGTTCCTGCATGCAATTTAATATGGAAACAGAATATAACTACTACTGATGATATCTGCTCATTCTTGGAGCATGGAAATGTTCCTTTTTAAAAAAGAACTGCCTGGTTAATATGACTGGGCGATAGTCATGTATTGGTGCAAATAAAAAGAAACACATGCTACCAAGTAATGTTAACAAGGGTGGCAGTCCAAACAAAAGGTTCTAACGTGAGAATTGGAAGTCAGATCAGCACCAAATTTGGTACAGTGGGAGAATACACTCTGCTTCTGCTCTGTGACAAATTTCAGGACACCTGGGAAAAGAGGTTTCAGGTTATGATCTTGTGCAAGAACTCCTCTCCTCAGTGAAGTGTATGAGCTCTAGATCTACTGTAGATACCCATTCATGTATCGCACTGCAGATGGAATTGTGCAGACCCTTTACAGAAAAGCAGAGAGACAATGTCACACAGTTCAACTTCTGACACTGCCCTGTAAGTGAACTCTGTTGGGTCACTACAGCAATTATCAAAGCAGTAGCGACATTCGTCTGTTTCAACATAGGTAAAAAAGCCCAAGTCAAACCATCAAAATATTGTGGAACCTTTAAGACTAGAAGACTGATTTCAGTGTGAGGTTTTGTGACTCTCAGAAAGGAATGTCTTCATCAATAAAGCACAAAATTTTGGGGATCCACTTTGCTGCCAGCTTTCTCATTTCCAAGTCATTGTGGATAACGGCACCAACTCCCTCACATGATATTCTCAGATATATAGCAATACTTTTGGCTGATATTCAGCGGTCCTCCATGATCATGTCATGGATGGCTTTCATATTTGAAGGCACAGAGACAGAAACAGGCCTTCCACTGGGTTTCTCAATTTCAACACTGAAATGGCCAGTTTTAAAATTGACAACCCAACGTTTAACTGTTGCATATGAAGGGCCACTTGTCACCCATAGTTTGTGACATTTCATCATGGATCTGCTTTGGACCTTTCCCTTGGAGAAACAGGAACTTGATTATGGTCCTATGCTCTTCTACACTGAACTTTTCTGGAGGTGCTGCCATGTTCACTTTGGACCTGAACATGAAAGATAAGTTAAAATCATAGGTAGTTTATTTTTGCACCATTGAATACAGACAAAATGGCCAATACACCCTGCAATTTACAGCTTCCTATAAGCAACTGCTAGTGCATAAGAAAAGAGAAGCCAATAAAAATAATTGGATACGGCTTATACAAGCAGTCAAATCTAATGACTCAGCCACTTTGTGGCACATTGCATCATGCGCTCAAAGATATGATCAATCCGTGCTGGATTGTCACATCCCTCCAGGGATCTGGGAGGCATAGTTCCAATATCTATATATGGACACCTCTGCTGGAAGTGGGTACTCTAATCAAGGTATAGAAAATTTGCCAAAATGGCCTCCTGTGACTGAGACAGAGATTGACAACCTGATTGCTCAATAGAGAACAGGAAAGGCCCCAGGAGAAGCTCTAATTCCATCAGAGGTCATCAAAAATAATTTGGACGTTTGGACCCCTATATTAGCCTCACTTTTTACCTGCATTGATAGCTATGGTCGAATTCCTAAGGACTGGGGGCTGGCAATTATTATAGGTAAAGGTAAAGGTTCCCCTTGACATTTAGTCCAGTCGTGTCCGACTCTAGGGCACGGTGCTCATCCCCGTTTCTAAGCCATAGAGCCAGTGTTTGTCCGAAGACAGTTTCTGTGGCCATGTGGCCAGCACGACTAGACACGGAATGGCGTTACCTTCCCACCGTGGTGGTACCTATTTATCTACAGTGGTGCCTCGCTTAACGAGCGCACCGTTTAACAACGAATCCGCATAGCGATGTCACAAAAGCGATCGCATTGCGATGTTCACATAGGCAGAAACTCACATTGCGATGATCGGTAAGTGTTTTGCTTACCGATCTTCGCATTGCAATGGTTTTTTAAACAGCTGATCGGCGATTCCAAAATGGCCGCTGCAAGTGTTTTCGCACCCTGCCCTCACTTACTGAGGGTGCGAAAATGGCGGCGCTGTGGAGGAACTTCGCTGAACGGCGAGTTTGGGTCCCACAGGAACGCATTAAACCAAGTTTAATGCGTTCCTATGGGTTTTTTCGATCCGTTTAGTGATATTTCTGCATAGTGACGATTAATCCGGAACGGATTAACATCGCTATGCGGGGCACCACTGTACTTGCATTTGCATGCTTTTGAACTGCTAGGTTGGCAGGAGCAGTGGATTTGATCATACGATTGCTGGTCTTCCAACCTTGCAGCACAGAGGCTTCTGCGATTTAACCCACAGTGCCACCACATCCCAGCAATTATTATATCGATATGTAAAAAAGGCAAAAAAGGATGACACTGCTAATTGCAGACCAATCAGTCTCCTTAATACAATCAGCAAACTTTATGCAAGATTTTTACAGTGGAAACTGTTGTATTGGCGGGAACAACAAAACATACTTGCAGAGGAGCAAGCTGGTTTTCAGGAGGGCAGATCTACTATAGGTCAATGCCTAGTACTTCAGCATCTTATTGAAAAATATTTTTTCAAAACATCTCTTCCCTTTATGCTGCTTTCATAGATTTCAAAGCACCCTTTGATTCCATATCTCAAATCAAGCTGTGAGAGAAATTGGAGGCATCCTCAATAGAACAACGATTACTCTACTTAATATGCATGCTTCATGAAGGAACCTCACTCAAAATAAGATGTAACCCCCAGGGCCACTTCACCGATTCCGTTGCTATGGAGAAAGGTGTCAAGCAGGGTTGTATACTGGCCCCAATGTTATTCAAATTTTTTATAAACTCTATGGTGGTCTGCCTTCATAATGTGAACTTTCACCCCCCAAAACTGGCTGGAAGGCACATCTCTGTTTTACTTTATGCAGATGATGCAGCATTACTCTCAAGAACACCTATTGGCCTTAAAAGAGCATTGAAGGCGTTAACACAATACTGCAAGGAGGAACAACTACAACTTAACTATTAGAAAACTAAAATCATGGCATTTGCCAAAAGACCTAAAAGTTACTCCTGGAATATAGATGGCCATAAAATTGAACAGGTTTCATCTTTCAAATATCTGGGAGTCGTCCTCCATTCTACTGGTAGTAGAAAAGCCATGGGGACCATGCTGCTGATGTGGCACAAAGAAGCTCATTGGCTAGTCTTAAATACCTCAAGTCAAGAGGTGGTCATTATATACCTGCAGCACTTAAACTATTTGAATCCAAGTCAATAGCCCAACTTCTGTATGGAGCCCAGTTAGGCCCCCTTTCCAATTTTGTACCACTAGAGCTTGTGCAATCCAAATTCATAAGATCGGCCCTACAAGTCCCAAAATGTGTCTCCAATGCCACTCTGAGACTCGAGTTGGGCCTTATGAAAATGGAGGCTAGGATGTGGGTGGTCATCCTTAATTACTGGCTTAGATTATCTCTTCATCCCTTGGGCCTTGCCCCATTAACTTTAAGAGATGACTTTAAGTCCACTTGAAAAAGGACTGTGGTATCAAAAATTTGTTCCTTGGGTTTTTCACCAGGTCTCCTTCTCAGTATGGGATATGACCAGGCCAAAGCGGTCATTAAACAGCAGGTAATAGACACAGAGCGACAATTGGGTTTGGCCAGATGTCCAACTTCTATTATTAATGCATCCAGCAGGTATTTTGCTCCCCCTATGTTATATCTATCCAGACTGGAAATACCAAACCATTGGAGGGCCTTTCCTTTGGCAGGATGTCATGCTCTCCCCTCAGCTGTTCTTGAGGGCCGATATCGGAGGATCCCCTACTTGGAGCGACAATGCCGTTGTGACTTTGGCCACATATAATCAACAGAGCATGTGCTCTTTCAATGTTCATTTTATAGATATTCGAACTAATCTCATCTTACCAATAGTCCATAAATATCCGGGACACTCCAGTCAATTTTATACAGTGGTGCCTCACTTGACGACGATAATCCGTTCCAGCAAAATCACTGTAGAACGAAATCGTCATCAAGCGAAAGTAAAAAGCCCATTGAAACGCACTAAAAACTGTTCAATGCGTTCCAATGGGCGAAATATCGCAGTGTCCAGCAAAGATCCTCCATAGGGCGGCCCTTTTCCGGTGCCTGTAAAGTGAAAAATCCGCCCTAAACACAACGGGGAGCCATTTTGAACAGTGGGCGGCCATTTTGAAACCCCGATGATCAGCTGTTTTGATCGTCGTAAAGCAAAAAATCAGTTCCCGAAGCAGGGAACCGATCATCATCAAGCGGAATTTCCCTATTTAAACATTGTTTTGCCATCACTATTGCTATCACAAAAACCTCATCGTTAAGCGATTTTGTCGTGGACCGGGGTAATCGTTAAGCGGGGCACCACTGTACCTCCTTGCTGCTGTCAGTTACTAATTCTGATACAACATATAATGTTGCTAGGTTCTGTGCAGCTGCGATTAAAATTTGCCGGGCGATGACTGGCATCACAAACTAGTATTTATAATTAATTTTATGCCTTTTGATGCTTGATTAATGCCAGTTTATATATATATATGTATGTATATTTATAATTACTTGGAACTTTTTTATGACCATACCTTTTACTTATAGATTCACTAACCTCTAAGCATCACAATACTTATTTAATGCTTTAGAATCCTTTTTCTTTTTACTCACTGACCCCTGGATTCCCATATTCCGGTTATATTAGAATGAATGTGAGGTTACTTTTTAAATTTTAGATTCATGTCCAATTTTGGATTATGGTTTAATTCAAGTTTGTAATGGGCATCTCAACTGACTGTACCCCATCTTCCTTACGCTATCTCAACTGACTGTACCTCATCTTCCTTACGCTGGTCAGCGACCGTAATAAAGACAATACTAAATACTGATTTCAGTGTGAGGTTTTGTGACACTCAAAAAGGATGTCAAATGCAATCTACAAAACATCACACTGAAATACATCTCTTGATTTCACAGGTGCCACAAGACTTAAGTTCTTGCATCTTCCTCTGTACTTCTAAGATCAGCCTATCTGAATGTTAGAAGCATGATCAGTAACAAAGATATTTGTGAAGCTTGTTCAATATAAAATCGACACTACAGAACACCTATATATCTTCTTTCATATTGTATGGTTCTGCAAATCAATTTGAAAGTGACATCTCTGAGATTAGAGGCACTTGGAACACACACACTAGTATTTGACCAACAGATGGTGCTGACGCTTCTCTGTTGATAAAGAGATGGCACCGGCACTGTAATGAACACAAGGCACAGACTAGAAGCAGCGTTTTAAATCCTCATACCTATGAAAAACATTTGATAAGACTAACAGCAAAAGCATCTCAGTCACTGCACTAGGCTCTGTAAACATAAAATAACTTGTGAAATAAGAATCTGATATGGCTTGGAGCACAGGGTCGAACCCGATGGCTTTATAGGCCCCTTCCATCTTCATTACTCTATGATTCCATGGCAAAGATTGCTTAACGAAAGCACCTTTGTTTTTTGCATCCTGGTTCTACATAGAATAATAATCTTAGAACTGCAGAGCTGGAATGGATCATCAAGTCCAACACTTATCAAGAAGGCACAGTGGGGAATCGAACCAAGTCCAACACTTATCAAGAAGGCAGTGGGGAATAGAACTCCCAGCCACTGGATCCGCAGCCGTATACCTGAACCACTAAACTATGTACTATCTATCAAATTTCAATACCATAGTTCAAAATAAATATAGAACATCTACATTTCTAGAAAGTGCTCGTCGGAAGATGGAGACAAAAAAGTGGCTGCAATCACATGTTGTTGCACATATCTTCAAGCTATAATGGGCCAACTACAATATTTGTAACTGTAGATTTTTACTGACATTCTTAAGTACAGCCAATGTAGACATTACCTGCTGATAGTTTTTCCTTCAAATGTGGATCATTCTGTATTTTGTACTTTTAGAGCAAGTGAGCATCTTGGAACTAGGTACTGTACAGGGTTTTCATATTTTGGGGGCTACAGTCCCTGCAGGAATTCCCCCAGCCTCTCGGGCATTTTGAATTACTTACAACTGAGGAGTGAATTAATGAATTTACTTTATTATCATTGTATAACGAAATTAAACGCCATCTCCAGTACACATAATAATAAGACACACAAGAACATACTGTAGCATCCATAACATGAAAACCTAGCACCTTACACATGAAACGCATCCCTCTCATTCACATCCACATCCTTCACATTCAATATCAACATCCACATTCAACAAAAGCTCTGTTGGACACGATGAACCTTCAGGAAGATGGAGGAATTGGCTAAGCTCTGTGAGAGCTGCCTCATGTCTTGCAGCTCCCACAGAACTTAGCTCTGCTTAGCCACTTCATTCAGCTTCACGGAGATTCATCATGTTTGATGGAGACGTTATTTCTCAGCTAAAAGCCATTCAAAACACTTAAGAGTTCTGATTTTTTTTTTTTTACTAACGTCCACAGAATTCTGGCTGTGGGAATTCTGCTGCATATCCAGATCAGAGCCCCTGACTGAGGTACAAGAGACAGGAATATTGCTCTGGTGACTAGACACAGGCCAAAGACTAGGCTATTAGTATTCAGACCAGGCTCGACTATGATTATGGCATGTTGTGGTTCCCAAAACCGCTCAGCTTGGTTGATCCAAAGGTTCCACACAGATTGCCAACTGCAGAGGCTGGTACTTCTTTTTGCATCTGAAGAGGATTCAGAGGCCAACACATACACCATCCCAACTAACTCATAAGGCTGTTTTTCAGCTTTAGGTCATGAGATTTAAAGCGCATCGATCCCTAATGTTGAAAGCACCTCATCTTACCTGCACAGGTCTACCATCCTCTTGGCCAATCATTGTTCTCCATTCCTGCAGTGATCTCTGAAGATTTTCTAAGCTGGTTTCCCAAAGCCTGACATTGCCCCCCATATCTACAGTAACCACGCCACCTTTGTTGAGCGAAGCCAAAAGGACATCAGTGTCTGAAATCATTGATATCCATGATGTATAGGGAGTCAGTTTCATTGATCTGAAAACCAAAAGAAGATGATTTGATTAAAAGTTTTTCATAATGATACAGAACTTAAAATGTTATGGGAATATAAGTAAAGGTAAAGGTTCCCTTTGACAATTTTTGTCCAGTCGTGTTCGGCTCTAGGGGGCGGTGCTCATCCTCGTTTCCAAGCCATAGAGACAGCGTTTTATCCGAAGACAATCTTTCCGTGATCACATGGCCAGTGCGACTTAGACACGGAACGCTGTTACCTTCCCACCGAGGTGGTCCCTGTTTATCTACTTGCATTTGCATGCTTTTGAACCACTAGGTTGGCGGGAGCTGGGACAAGCGACGGGCGCTCACTCCGTCACGTGGATTCGATCTTACAGCTGAAGATCTACAGACCTTACAGCACAGAGGCTTCTGCAGTTTAACCCGCAGTGCCACCACGTCCCTACCGGAATATATGCCCCAGCAAATCTTGCAAACCTAACAGCTCTCTATCCTAATCATAATCTTCTGTGGGCTAGTTTAAATGCAATTATGTGATCATACAATACGTGTGTTGCTACTTCCCTCTTGTATGCATACAGTATATACTTTCCAAAAAGTTCTGGAGTCTTTAATAGTTTCACATAGATGAGATTTTGTTACAATACAGCACAATTTGATGAATAGGCTCTCAAAAATATCCTGGGCACATGCCTGAAAAGGTATCTGCTTCTGTGCTCCTCTTCCAAAGAATTTAGAGCAGCAGACATGCCCACTCTATCCCATTTTATTCTGTGATGCAGGTAAGTGTAACAATTAGGAAGTGGTTCAGGAATATACAGGGAGTTGCACACTGGATGACAGTCTGATGTTAGCCCCTATCAGCAAACTTGCATGTTTGGTCTATGCTTGGCCTAAGCTTTTGCTTCATTAAATGAAGGCGGACTGCTGTTCAGAAAAGAGTTGCTTAGGATGATCCAAGCATCCTGGATGTTTGCATTATCAGCAACGATTGCTTTGGGAATGCACACTGTTAATCAGGCAAATATCACTGTCAGCATTTCAGCATCTAATTTCTCTCTGACCTCCCGTCTACTATCCTTTCCCCCGCTTCCTCTGTACCTGTACTTGAAACTCTGGATAATATTGCATGGACTTTTGTCAGGCACAAAAGCTTAAACCACAATAAACATGGTATCCATCAAGGTATAACAAGATTCCTTTCTTGTTTTAGTAAATGTTGGAAATGTCATAAAAACTGGAACCTATTATCACCTCTGGTGGACTTGTGATAAAGCAAAAACATTTTGGAACAAAATACATACATGGCTTGTTAAAATAATCAAAAAGCATGTAGATTTTAGGCCAGAGCTCTTTCTGTTAGGTATAATACTAGAAAATGTTGATAAACAAAATGTATATTTAATACTATATATTTTAACAGCCGCGAGGATTATATATGCACAGTACTGGAAAAATGAAGGAACACCTACAGATCAAGAAATAATTAAAAAGATATTGAACTGTGCCGAAATGGATAGAGTAACACTGAAAATCAAAGGAAAAGAAGATACAAAATATTATCAAACATGGGACTTGTTCTATCAATGGTTAGAAGGATGTTGTATAGATTAGGAGCGTAATGTGTATGGTAGTTGTTTTAACAAATGATTATAAGCTGTACCCAGGTGGCACAATGTTAAATCAACATGGATGGATTTTATATAATAAAAAGAATTTTTTAAAACAACAACAACAACAAAAGATTCCTTTCTTGTTTTGTTTTTCATAACCAAAGAAGGGGGTGATATGCAGCCTTTCTTTCCGAGGCCATTTTACATTCTACAAGCCATGACCAAGAATGTCCTTCTCTCATAACTCACATGGCAAGCTACTAACAATTGGAGGATAGATAGCAGAAGGAAGGATGTCAGAAACAGAGATAGATTCTCAGTCCAGTCCATATGGAAAGGTTGATTGACTCAGTCAGATGGTATGTACCAAGAAGAAAACTCAACCAATTAAGTCTAAGAAACTCACATACCCGCCACTTGTCATAACTGTTAACATCATATCTAGTATTCATTTGTACACTGTATCTTTCCATTCACCCACTCATCCCCCAACAGTGTATGTATGCAGTGGATTTTGGCTGTTACCTCAAATAGATAACTTCCTTCATATAATATGGACCATGAGTTATATTCTCCCCACAGTTGGGGGCAGGGAGAGAGAAAGAGAGTATTTAGCTATGTTTTAAAGACTTAGGATGCATCTTTTGTCTAAACAGACATAAAAGACAGTATTCTATAGCAAACCCCAATTACAGTAGACCCACCTAATCAACTGCTAAATGGCAAGTCAATACACATGCAAATCCCCTTGAGACAGTGTAATGAATAGTAAATGATTCAGGAATATACAGGGAGCTGCACAGCTGGGTGACAGTTTGATGCCAGCCTCTATCAGCCGATTTGTATGTTTGGTATATGCTAATTGGGACTAGTAGTAGGAATGTGATTGCATGAGCTCCTGAAAAAACTACATAAATAGAATATTTTCAGAACAAGCGCTTCAAATGGAAAGAAACAATGACATGTGAAATGGTTTGGCATAACAGCTTAGCTATACCTTTGTTTTCAGTGAAGTTTTGCTGTAATGACTGCTGGATGCTGGGACGTGGTGGCGCTGCAGGCTAAACCGCAGAAGCCTGTGCTGCAGGGTCAGAAGACCAAACAGTTGTAAGATCGAATCCACGCGACGGAGTGAGCTCCCGTCGCTTGTCCCAGCTCCCGCCAACCTAGCGGTTAGAAAGCATGCATATGCAAGTAGATAAATAGGGACCACCTCGGTGGGAAGGTAACAGCGTTCCGTGTCTAAGTCGCACTGGCCACGTGACCACGGAAGATTGTCTTCGGACAAAAACGCTGGCTCTATGGCTTGGAAATGGCGATGAGCACCACCCCCTAGAGTCGAACACGACTGGACAAAAATTGTCAAGGGGAACCTTTACCTGGCTCAGTGGTTTAGGTAGCTGGCTGCGGAGCCAAAGTTGGAAGTTTGATTCCCCCCTCACGGCACCTCCTTGACAGGGGCTGGGCCTGATGATCTATAGGGTCCCTTCCAGATCTGCAGTTCTAAGATTAATATTCTAAAATAATACTAACATTTAAAAGGTAAAGTACACTTACCTGGGAACAGGGATATATTTAAGTTTCTTGGTTGTAAGATCAGTAATTTCCAAATATCCTGCAGTTTGGGGAGGAGTAACATCTGGAAACAGAAGTGTTTGGAAATATCTGATAACTGGCAATGACCATTTCAATAAATCACGCACTTTTTATTTCATAGAAACATCTTACCATATCAGGAAACACAGCAAAATAAAAAATTAAAGCCATAGACTTGAAATGCTGTTATAAAAAGAACAACTTTAAAGTAAGGAAATGAAATCAACTCTTGTAAGAAACACTAGACTGGAAGTATACTTAAAAGAGTATTGTTTTCAGATTTATTTTATTTTATTTTATTTGTAAAGCTGAAAGAAAAAGATGAATATTGAGACAGGTCTGCACTAAAGGATCCCACACTGCCCTGAATAAACTAATTGCTTTTAAAGCAGAGCAGATTTTGAAAGGCACAAACACTGTCTCAATTGCTTTGTAGGCTGGCATTTTTCCATAGCTATAATGTACGTAACCCAAATCCAATTACAGAGAAGGGGATAATTACGGGAAATAAATGGCTCATATTTTAGCATCAACAGTCACAGATGTGTCCTTAAAATGTATAACAAGAAATGAGTCTGGAACCTATGCTGAATATATATTCAACTTTGTATATGTGTCCACTGATTAGGATAAAGTCAAAGTGCTATATTACTAGTCTCCCCACACAGATTGCCATATCTTTAAGGGGGCATTTATTGATAGCCACATATAGGGTTCTACCCTCAGTAGACATGATCACCATCTAGTAAAGCAATGCGCTCTATGTGGGGCTCCCTTTGAAGACAGTCCGGCGACTGCAGCTGGTCCAGAATCGAGCTGCGCGGCTGGTGAGTGGTGGGGCCGCTAGGGAACATATCAAGCCAATTCTGTATAAGTTACATTGGCTACCAGTTGCTGCCCGAGCCCAATTCAAAGTGCTTGTTTTGACATATAAAGCCCAAAATGGCTTGGGCCCTGGATACCTGAAGGATGGCCTCCTTCCATATGAACCTACCCGGCAGTTAAGATCTAAACAGGGGGCCCTTTTGAAAGAGCCGTCCCTTAAGGAGATAAGAGGGAGGGCTTGTAGAGAAAGGGCCTTTTTGGCAGCTGCCCCTAGACTATGGAATGCCCTTCCGACTGAGATTCGTCTGGCGCCGATGCTGATGACAT